GCCTGCCTCGGCCTCCCAGAGTGCTAGGATTACAGGCGTGAGCCACCGCGCCCGGCCCCAATAATAGTTTTTAATTCACGCTTTCTAGATGTCTTCTGTAGTAATTTGAATCCTCTACCTATTTCCTGTGCCCCGTGGTGCTTCAGAGATACCGCAGGAAAGTGTGGACTTCGGCACTGAGATAGCGCTGCCTCTGCGTTCATTGCCGCTCCGCTGCTTCTTGGCTCTGTGAGCTTGGACAGATCCCCGCGTTCGCTCATTCACATTCATAGGTGCAGATACTCACTGGGTACCTGCAATGTACCAAGCACTAATTTAGACAAAGGATAGTGTAACAAATTAAAATAGATACATAGACATATGACAGACAGGTTAAAAAAGAGCCCGCCTTTATGAAGCTCTCATTCCTATGAAGTAGTCAGAAAATTACCAAGATATAGGTAAATGTGTAGTACATTAAATAGTGATAAGTACCAAGAGAAAAATAGAGAAAGAATCCAGGAAGTGTTGAAGCCAGGATAATGTTGCTGTTTTATATAAAGTGCCCACAGAAGCCCTCATAAAGAAAGTAACATTTGAGTAAAGAAAGGTCTAAGAAAATGAAGAAACCAAGTCATATGTCTATCCGGCTGAAGAGCATTTCTGGCAGCCCCGAGACAGATGTGTGCCTGAGATGTTCAAAGAACAGCAAGAGTCTAGTGTGACGAGAGCAGGATAAATAAGGGGAAAGTTATAGGAGATGAAATCAGAGATAAGGATGCCAAGTGCCGCTGAGTCTTAGGGATCGTTGTAAAGAGTTTGGTGTTTATTCTGAGTACGATGAAAGCCACTGCAGGATTTTTGAGCAAAGTAGTAACATTGTCTGCCTCACATTTTAATAGCATCATTCTGACTGCTCTGTTGCTAGGAGGAAGATGGAATTAAGGAGACCAGTGAAGACATTTCTCTTATCTGTGGAAAAAGAGAGAGACTCGGCACATGTGTGCTTTTTTTCTTTGTAATGCTCACATAGGACCAGGACTCGTTCATAATTCCTTGTGAAGCTAGGCTCCTAAGGAACACTGGAGAGAAGGAACAACTGATCTTGAGCCAGCCAGCTCAAATTGGAAAAGCTCTTCACTTGGGCTTCATCTTTTCTGTACTCATAAGTTGTAGACCGTGAGGCTATTTCTTCTCTTCCACAAGCTGCCATTCGTAGCCATAAGCAAAACTATTTATATAAACATCTGCATGTAACTCATTAAGACAGTACTAGTGAGCATTCTATAATTCTATAAAGCAGGGACACTTAGCCCTTAAAATTGCATGCCAAATTTTGCAGGTTGTATATTTTTCTAAGGAAGGGGGCCACAATTATTATCAGATCCTTGAAGAATTGCTTCTAGCTAACCTTGTTGCTGTTCTTATACATTTTTGCTATAACTTTTTAGAGGTCTCATGTGTGACATTTCCAAGTTATCTGAAGTGTTTGAAGAGAAGTATTATTCATGAAAACCCCCTTAGAAAGGGTCATTTTTAATTTGAAATTTGAGTCTTAGGCCCTTTTTCCCTATATTTAATTTTGAATCTGTTGGAAGAATTTAAGATACTGTATTTCTTATTTTTGCTAGCTGGGGAAAAAAGACATTTCAACTTTTGAAAACTAAATAAATTTCTCTTCACTTCTATAATAAATGTGTTAATTGCAGTGTGCATAATGCTTGAATTCTGAAATGATTGATTATTTTAAATTAGGAATTAAATCATGCTTAACATTGAAAATGACCAAATGCCAAATGTGTAGGGGAAAGAAATGCACATGTGTAAATATGCAAAAGATTTTGGACACACAGAGGCAAAGATACATCCACAAAAGTAGAACATTTGATGTTTAACATATACCTTAATGTATTCTAGATAGGATTATTCTGAGTCTCAGTATATATGTAGTCAACAGTTTATGTTTCACACAGATGCAAAACAGGATGGTGATTTTACTTTGCAACCTGAAACCTGCGAAGATGAGGGGAGTGCTGTCTCAAGCAATGGTGATGTGCGCCAGCTCACCAGAGAAAGTCGAAATACTGGCTCCTCCTGACGGATCTGTTCCTGGAGACAGAATTACTTTCGACGCTTTCCCTGGTAAGTATTTATTAGCAGTTACTTAAATAATTCGGGGATCAGTTCTCAAAGTGACGTTTGTAATGTTTAAAGATTAAAGTCCTGTGTTTAAATCACAAGACTTATGTTAAATGATCATTATTAAATATTATCGAGTTTTTCGAGATTGGCACTCCGTTGAGCAGTCATTTAACCATCCCCCTCCTCGTGAATGCATGTATGACATAAAACACCAGAAGGAGATTTGTCTTACGTAATATGCTGATATTAACATTAATACTTGCAAGGCAGAAGAATGTGACCTGGATAAAGAACACATCAGTGTGCTGCGAAACCATTTACACTGTACATCGTCCCGGACCGCAGCACAGGGAGACAAAGAGATAAAGAGTTCAGACATGGGGAAGATTTATAATTCGCAAAGTCCATCTAACAATACTCGCATATGCTTTTACTCGACTTCAGGATACAGAGAAAATCTCTTAAGTTAAAATTCAGTTATTTTAATAATCTAAAAGGAAGTTTCATTTCGTATTGCCTGATTTCTCTAGTGAAATTGCTCCTGAGACAGTTGAAGCTTCATAATGCATGAAAAACCTTCTTCACATAGGTCTTTGGAGTAGAAGAGAAAGGAAGCTTGGCAGATGTAGGATAAATATTTCTTTCATATAAGGGGGAGGACCTTATAACAGGAAAAACAGAAATTAAAAGGCTGCGTTTAAAGGATGTTCATTTGAGTAGACTAATATGAAAAGCAGAAATAAATTAAGGTAACAAGTAGAATTAGGTTCAAAAGTCAGAATTAATTTGGAGACGTATTTGCAGAAATAGCTGAGTTTTAATGGAATAGCCAGGCTGATGTGATTATGTAGGCATGTTTTTTTTTTTAATTCTATATTAACTGTGTTTAATGAAAGTTTTAACGTTGGAAGATGGTAAGATAGAAAACATGGATAAAAGTATGGATTAATTTCTCTGAAACTCAGCTCTAGCCTCCTAATGAAAATAGACTAATCTGAAAAACACAGGTAATTATTTTTTATAAGTATCCATGACTTTGAATTCATGTATGTCTTGAACCTCTAGATGAGCAATCATGATGGTCTGTGCTCTAAGAACCTCTTTAGGGAAATTAGGTTTTAGGAAAATCGCAGTCTCAAAAGATTTCTCAGAAACACCCTGATACCTTTACATAGAGCATATGATCACCGTTCTGCTCCCACAATATCAAAACACTTCCCAAAACCTACCCCTTTGGGATAAGCTGTCCACGTATAATCGACTAACCTGAAATTCTATTTAGAATTTTCATTCACTAAAGGCAAGAAAAGTGAACTTTTTCTTTTAAGATTAAGAATGCATTGAGAAAAACAACAAAAATAAATCTTGATTTACCTTTTCAGATTAACATTTGCCTTCCTTTTTATTTAAATACTTAAGACTTAGTACTTTGTTTAGGTTTACTTTTTAGATCTAAATTGTAGAGTTAACTATTTAGAATGAGAAGAAATCATCTAGTTTAGCCCACTATTTTACAAATTTAGAAAGTGAGGCCCAACAAAATTTCATTACTAACTTAATGTTATACGGAGTTAGTAGAAGGATCAAACCATAGACGTGAATGAATCTCTAGCCACCATAACATGTTTGTTTGTTTGTTGATTATTGGTTGCTATTAGTTAATATGAACTATGTAATTAATGAAGCCTTATAGTTCTTTTATTACTATGATGGCTCTCATTCCTTTATAGAA